ACCAGTCAGAATGGCTAAAATTAACAAGTAAGAAAACGACAGATGTTGGCGGGAATGCAGAGAAAAGGGAACCCTCCTACACTGTTGGTGGGAATGCAAGCTGGTGCAACCACTCCGGAAAACAGTATGGAGGTTCCTCAAAAAGTTGAAAATAGAGCTACCCTATGATCCAGCAATTGCACCACTGGGTATTTACCCCAAAGATACAAATGTAGGGATCCGAAGGGGTACATGCACCCTAATGTTTATAGCAGCAATGTCCACAGTAGCCAAACTGTGGAAAGAGCCAAGATGTCCATTGACAGATCAATGGATAAAGAAGATGTGGTATATATATACTATGGAATATTATACAGCCATCAAAAGGAATGAAATCTTGCCATTTGCAATGACATGGATGGAACTGGAGGGTGTTATGTTGAGCAAAATAAGTCACTCAGAGAAAGACATGTATCATATGACCTCACTGATATGAGGAATTCTTAATCTCAGGAAACAAACTGAGGGTTGCTGGAGTGGGGGGTGTGGTAGGAGGGATGGGGTGGCTGGGCGATAGACATTGGGGGAGGGTATGTGCTATGGTGAACACTGTGAATTGTGCAAGACTGTTGAATCACAGATCTGTACCTTTGAAACAAATAATGCAATATATGTTAAGAAAAAAAAAAGAAGAAGAAGATAGCAGGAGGGGAAGAATGAAGGGGGGGAATCGGAGGGGGAGATGAACCATGAGAGACGATGGATTCTGAAAAACAAACTGAGGGTTCTAGAGGGGAGTGGGATGGGAGGATGGGTTAGCCTGGTGATGGGTATTAAAGAGGGCACGTTCTGCATGGAGCACTGGGTGTTATACGCAAACAATGAATCATGGAACACTACATCAAAAACTAATGATGTAATGAATGGGGATTAACATAACAATAAAAAATTAAAAAAAAAAGAAATATTCTACAGACTGGGTGCTTTTAGTTAAGAGTGAAACTGATCAATACATAGCAATGACATTTAAGGACATTGCTATTTAAGACTGTACAATACAGATAATGATACGTATGAAATGATGACACTAAGGTTAATTATGAAAAGATTCTGTCCACAATATTTCTGTTGAAAAGGCTTAGGACTTGAATGATTAGCTTTCAATTATCTACAAACTTAGAATTACATAGAACATTTCTGAGCTGTTGCTAATGTGCTTCAGTCTTCTTCCTTGTTGTGTTTAGGCTTCCTGTGACACTTACCACTCAATGGCAGAAGCCAGAATTCTTTGGCTAAGCCCTCCCTGGATGTAGTCACTAAGAGCTTCAGCCCTGAGCTCTAGGAAACTTTAAATATTCCCAGCAGCTGGAAAAAGCAGTGAAATAGCTTCCAGGGGGAAAGGATGTGGCTCAGGAACAGCTGGGGTTGAAGAGAAGTTACACAAGACGCTCTCCCTCTTGGCTTCCTCCTTTCCTCTCATGCCCTACTTTAACTCATAGAACCTAGCCTCTGGAGAAAAGGCACAACAGGCCCCATTTCTCCACACCAAGCTCCAGCCACCAATTTATTTCACCTGCATAAAAATGCTGATAACTTATTCATGGTCAATATGCCACAGGGTATCATTTGTTCTTAAAGATCTTTCTTTGGCCGTGGTAAAGTCTCAGGGTCAAGTCTTTTTTTTTTTTTTTTATGTTCCGTTTGGGTCAAGTCTTATAATTCTACATTCATGTTCCCTAGGCCCTTGACATAGAGACATAGAGTTTAGGACACATACGAATTCTAGAATTCATATCTAAGAGTGACTTCCGAAATCATTTTATTCTATTTAACAGTTGTGAAATTGTAGGCTATGAATAAGTAACCCATTTTCCCAACTGGATTCTAAGATCCTTGAAAGCAGAACCTTTTCTCGCTTTTTCTGGCATCAAGCATGGTTCTAAGAATACACTGTGTATATCACATATATTCAATTGGTACCTCCCCACAGGGATTAATAAGCTGTCATGACTACAAAATAAGCAAAACGAGGGGCACCTGGCTGGCTCAGTCAGTTAAGCGTCCGACTCTTGTTTTCAGCTCAGGTCATGATCTCACGGGTCGGGTCGTGAGATTGAGCCCCACGTAGGCTCCATGCTCAGCAGAGAGTCTACCTGAAGATTCTCTCCCTCTGCCCCTACCCCCACTTGCTCTCTCTTTCTCAAAAAAATCTTTAAAATCAATAAGCAAAAAGATCATCAGTGTTTGTGTGTATGTATGTGTGTATGTGAGAAATGGGTCACACAATTTACTTGGCTTTTCCACTAACAACTTATTTTGAAACTCAATTGACGAATATTCTGACAAGGACTCAGTCAGCCTCTAAACCTCGGAGTCTGGTGGTCAAATACCTTCAGGGCAAAAGCCTCTCTAATTCAGTTGCCTGACCTTATAATTGGAACAGGAGGAATCTTGTCCATTCTACCCCTGGTTAACCACAGAAAGTCCAGAAAACTTTAATTCAAGGATGACCAACTACTGGCAAGAAGGATTAAATGTGGGTTTTGGGGTCAGACACGCTGGGGCAAGATGTTTTATGCATCTGAGCTTATTCCCTCCTTCAGCAGATGTGATACACACTTCAGATGATTGCAGTGAAGATCAAATAAGAAAATGGATACTAACTGCCTAGTCATACATCCTTAATTTCTACTTTATGGCAGCATTTCCTGTCTAGCTATGGTGAAGCTGAGCCTGACATTAGGGGAGGCGAAGAAACTGCAAAACTGATCCTTCTGAGTTTTATTTCATCAGCCAAGCACAAGGCGATAGTGCATGACTAACAACATGAATGGCCCATTCGATTGCTCATCAATTGAGAGAGAAGAAAACTGGATTTGATGAACTGAATTTAGACAGGCAGGCCAGCATAATGGGTGTTTCACATGGTTTCCAGCCATGTGGACTGATTCTCTGATGCTCATTCCATCTGATAAAGTCGACTTTTTGATAATTCTAACAAAAGAAAGAAATCAGTTGAAAAATCAGCAAGCAGTGAATGAAGAGTCCTTAAAAAACAAACCAGTCTTGCAAAGGAAAAGGAGAGACTGAGAGTCTCAATTTATCTCACTGGAAGAGGATTCTCTCCCTCCCTGTACTTCACAGCTGGAGCCCAGGGAGCAATTTTCCGTGGCTGCTGAGAGAACAATCCGGTAGCACAGATCTGTCTCCTCAGCTGCTCTCCCCACTGCTGCTTCCATCACCCCATCACCCCGGGGCCTGGCCGCGGAGCTTCGGGCCGTTTTCCCAGCACACATTAAAGCACTATCTCTGAACCTTAAGAAATAATCAAACTGTGTGCCCTATTTATAAATGTAAAAAGTGTAATCCATTCCTGGAGATCATGATACACCAAACCAGACTTTATCTTCCTTATGTCCCCACTTCTTTGGTTAGTTCTGTGCTCTATTTTCTGCAGTTCCTACTGTGGATGGTGTATACACACACTCACGCACGCACACTCTTTGCATTTTCCAATCATTCAATTTCAGTTTCAGATGAATAGGCTTTTAAAACTACATATACTCACACTTGGGCAGATCCCTACGTCACTGAACTAAAAGGACTAAAATGGTTTCGATTTGAGCCGTTCTGAGTTTGTTGTGAAGAATAACAACAACAAAGCAAACTCAGCATTCACAAAGGCATGACGGGAAGATTGTGAGCAGTCAGACTGTAACAACACTGAGCAAGTCGCCTGCAACTCTAAAGTGGGTCAGAGGTCAGCCAGCCCGATGATGAAGGGATCGTAACTCCCTCTCATGTTTTCTGGGCCTCGGGGTGCCGAACACTCAGTTAATCCCCACAGCCATCTTGATGAGGAACTGAGGCTTGGAGCCTGTAAGGATCTTTCCCTAAATCACAAAACGAATACAATCCCATGTTTAACTCCAGAGCCAGACTTCTTAACTGGGGAGCTATTCTGCTGGAATATAAGTACAATATAATTACCGGGAGTAACACCAAAGCACTCAAAGACATAAAGTATGCATTTCTGTGTGTGTGTGTGTGTGTGTGTGTGTATGCCCACACACATATGCATACATGTGCTAAAGCGATATTTGAAGAGCATTATGAAGTACAGTTTAAACAAACCCCAAGGTAGGGATAGATTTGGTTGTAGCTTTCCAGAAGCAGGTGAGTTTGGGGCTGGGCTTTGAACTTGAGGCAGAACATGCGCTTGGCAGAAACCTACCAGCTGGGCATACATTTTTGGGGAGGAGAGTGCCCAGGTCTAAGGCCCAGGTTATGCTGAAAAGACAATGGGCAGCTGGGTGCTGCTGACGCTCAGGTAAAGAGAACCAATGGTAGCAGTGCTGTGCACTTTCGAGTAGGATAAACGTAAGGTCAAAGAAATATCTAGCATTTGCTTAAGACACTCAGAGTTACTGCAGTTCCTGATGAAGAGAACTCTATAATGGTTTCTGTAAAATTATTCTAGTAACTGTTTATTGGACCGCTTGGAGTGGAGAAACTGAAAATGAGGAATAGTTCATAATTTTTAGTAGCCTAAGATAATTGAAGCCTGAGCTGGGGTGGCTATGGAAAGAGTTTTTTGTTTATTTATTTTTATGACCAAGGTCTGCAATCAAGACTTCAGACATTGTGCAATTTCATAATGGCTGAAATGAGTATTTGACTACAGGGCATGCCACCAAGGGAGCAATCAGAGCTAGACGCACTGGAGTTGGGGCTCATCTATCAGAGATGATTTTAAATCAGTGTGGGCCTGCCTGGATGCAAAAGGGGAGGTGCCAGTTGATATGAAACTCCCCTCTTCAAACTGTTCTCACCATTTTATTTCCCTTGGTGTCCCCAGTGATCAAATCCACACAGCGTCAAGGATAAAAGAGAAAATACCCAGTGAAAGCCTGCAAAATGCATCACCCAGAGGACTGGAATGATCAACAAACACAAGAGGATTCTCAACTGTCTGTCTTCCAGACTCCGCCTTCATCTAAGGACCGTGCAGGAGCGCTTACCGCAAACATCCACTCTGGGAGGAAGCGCTCTCCACATAGTGCTTCAGAGCAAGCTGGAACTCTTCCAAGTCCTCTTCTATCACAGACATCTGACGTTGGACAAGCATGATGTGCTGCCAAGGAATAGGCAAGTGTTACAGCCTGGCTGTCATGGAGCCTCGCTTTGGCTGACCCCCTGCAGCCCATCCCTCCCCTCCTCATGAAGCAAACAATTCTCATCTAGAAATATGACCAAAAGGAAGGCCATGACTAATCCAAGTAATACGATCTATACAAGCTGTAATGCAGGCAGGATACCTTTCTCGCCTCTAGTAGCAGGTGCTAAAGACAGTGTCTCCCGATGATATCTTCCCTTTCAAAAGCAGTGGTTCTCAATTAGAAGCACTGAGGAGGTTTCAAAATTGCACTTACATCAGAATCTCTGGAAGTGGGGTCCAAGCACAGTATTTATACAGCCCCCGCCCCCCGCCCCGCAAAGTGACCCTAATGTGCAGCCAGGGCTAGGATGACCAGCCTACAGTCATTTTGAAAGAGTGGTCTTACTCTACACCTGGACAGCTCCAGCTTCACCTTAAATATTTTGTGATATTAGACGTGTGTATCATTACAAACAACCAAATTTCAAAATATGTGTGTTCAATGCTGCATTTCCAAAGGTACATTAACCACCGACCACATACCACAGGCCCTGCTCAAAATCTCCTGCATCAGATGGAGCCTATGTTTAATGGGTCACACTGGGCTGGATGGCAACTGCTTCTTGTAACAAATCCTATTATGTTTATAGCACTTGTAGTTTGAAGATTTCCCTATAGATCTGCCTACGGGCTTCTCATGGCACTTTGATCTCAAGATTGTGCCTTTCCTCCATCAAGAGTTAGGAATGAATCATAGAAGTGCAAAAAAAAAAGTAAGGATTGGGAGTGAATCATAAAAGTGCAAAACAACAACAATGTAAGGACAATTTAGAATATGAGGAAAATAACTTGCACAATATTACCCAGCTATAGAGTGGTAGAGCCAGAAGTAAGCCCGTGGTTTGCTGTCTCCTCTCCAATGAGCTTCTCACTTCATGTTAATAGCTACCATTGTTGGAGACCAGTTATATCATAGCTATCATATTAGACACTTTATATATTCAATAATTGTTCCTACTTTGTTTTTCTACAGCTAAATGCTAGGTGCTGGGTTCTGGGTATACAGTGACGAATCAAGATAGAATCATTACCTTCATAAGGTTTAGTAAATAAATTAACAATGTTGTTTTGTGTTTTTTTAATAAAGATTTTATTTATTTGAGAGAGACAGAGATAGCGACAGAGCGCAGGAGTGGGGAAGAGAGGGAGAAGCAGGCTCCCCACCGAGCAGGGAGCCCAACGCAGGGTTCGATCCCAGGACCCTGGGATCATGACCTGAGCCAAAGGCAGACACTTACTAACTGAGCCACCCAGGTGCCCCAAGAAATCAACAAGGTTTGAAAACTATGTCTATGTTATAATTTTAGGTATTGATACTAGCCCATGAAACTGCCTATATGTAAACTGACCACAAGTCTACTAAATTCTTGAAAGAAGTGTATTGTCAAATAAATCTTTTTTTTTTTTTAGATTTATTATTTATTTATTTGACAGAGAGAGACACAGCAAGAGAGGGAACACAAGCAGGGGAGTGGGAGAGGGAGAAGCAGGCTTCCCGCTGAGCAGGGAGCCCGATGCGGGGCTCGATCCCAGGACCCTGGAATCACGACCTGAGCCGAAGGCAGACGCTTAACGACTGAGCCACCCAGGCACCCCATCAAATAAATCTTTATCCCAGTCTCAAAATCCTTTGATTGCGTAAGCCTTAAGGTAATATTTGGGCCTCCAAACTCACATGAACAGGAAGCAGGCTATCAATACCATATAACCCCTAAAAAGGGCAATACTCTCTGATGAGCTGTTCCTGATGTGGTCATGGAGGTAAATGAACCAAAAAGAAACTCTCAAAACAACAACAATGGAAACAGAGTTCCTCCCAGAATGGAGATCCAGTGTCTAATCACAGAACTTCCTTCACTGACAAATATCTTCCCAGCATGAATTCACTGTTGCAATGAACCAGTGAATGCTGTATGCTTCCTATCCGTGCCTTTCCTGAATTACAGTTTTTATGACATTTCTCCTGGCCCAGTTTTATCATTGTATATTTTATCTGTGTGTTTGGGGGTTGTAGCGAGGGGATATAACTTACTTTTTTTATTCATAAATGTGTCAGACCGCAAGGGACTACATCTTGATCTTTTTTTTTTTTTTTTTTTAAAGATTTTATTTACTTATTTGAGAGAGAGAGTGAAAGAGAGAAAGAGCACAAGAGGGGGGAGCGGGAGAGGGAGAAGCAGACCCCCCGCCGAGCAGGGAGCCCGATGCGGGACTCGATCCCGGGACTCCAGGATCACAACCTGAGCCGAAGGCAGTCGCTTAACCAACTGAGCCACCCAGGCGCCCCGACTACATCTTGATCTTACAGGGAGGACTGATCATCACCCAGGAATGCCAGACTTTGAGCTAGAAGCAGTAACTGGAGGAGACTTAGGGTGGTCTCCCTTGTGAAGGGGTCTATGTGTTCTATATATGTGAAAAGAATATTTGATGATCAGAAGGCTCACTGTGGCAGAAACTCCAAACTATTCCCCCCAAATCCATTTCCTCTTCTTTCTAGGTAGAGTTAGAGTACATAGTCCATCATTCTTTACAGTTAGGTACAACCAACTGATGGGTTTTCACCAACAGAATACGAGCAGAAGTGCTGTGTATTGCTTTGGGGCCAAAACTTTCAAGAGGGATGTGAACCCCCTCCACGTTCTCGTCCCCTTTTCTGTTGATGGAATGACCTGCCTTAGGAATAGCAGAGCCATATTTGAGAGGAGCTTGTGTCCCTGAATCATTGTGTGGACTGTTTTACTGGGCAAGGAAAAAACTTTTATTATATTGGAATCATTTTCCATTTGGGTCTATTTGTTTCCACAGCCCAGTCACCTTAGTGAGTTTGGTAATTTTAATTGAGCTTTGTTTTATTTCCCTTTAGGATCAGAGATCAAGAATCAGTAGATATGAGCCTATAACTATCTCCTAAGATTATGTAATGAACAATCAGCCTCCTGTACCACTCTCCCAGGACCTGGTTTTAGTATCAGTAACGAAGAGTTTAAGTTAATCTCTGCCAAAATAACTGTGGACATGTTCTTTTGGCAGAGATCTACAGAGACTTCTTGATCATGTATTTGTGATTAACAATGACTCAGATGATTTCTCATGGGCTTTCCTAGTGAGATATATAAATATATCTACCTATTCCACTGAAATTCTTTTAGTCTGAAGGCAAGTCTTATTGTGATCTAAATTGCAAACATGAATAGAATCCTTCACTACTCCCTGAAGGCATGCCCTTTGAAATGTGACTTTTTAGCTTCTTCTATCAAAACATAGATCTGATTTCCCTTTCCCTTGGATCTGGGCCAACCTTATAACTTGCTTTGGTAGAAGAGTCCTAATATCTTCATGACATTTCTGTGTGTCCCTTATGTCAAATACACAGTCTGAGATCCTTACTGAAATCTGGTGTGAATGGCCAGCCCAGAGCATTTTTGTTTCTCTGCTTTAGAAAGGGTAGTGAACCCTTTATTATTTACTCAATGTTATTTTGTTATGATGGAATTATGGTGGAATATTTACAGAATAGTTTTTGCTAGTCACATCAGGTTAGCTGCATCCACCTTCGAATTCTTTTGTTTTTGTTTTTTGTTTTGAGAAATTTCAGCTTTTTACATCTCTGGAGACAGAAATATTTTTTTTTAAAAGATTTTATTTATTTATTCATGAGAGAGAGAGAGAGAGGCAGAGGGAGGAGCAGGCTCCCAAGGAGCAGGGAGCCCGATGCGGGACTCGATCCCAGGACCCTGAGATCATGACCTGAGCCGAAGGCAGACGCTTAACCATCTGAGCCACCCAGGCGCCCTGGAGACAGAAATATTTTAAATGCAACTAATTTGTTTCATGTTTTCTAGCTCTATTTACTACATTTACAATTGTGTTCCAAGCATGTCTTCAGAATAACAGCCTTTCTTGTGTGCTCTTGTTCAATCTTATAATAGCTATTGCAAAGCAAAACTATGTTTTAATAGTTCCTGACATATTTGGTGGCAATAACTCCCAATACACAAGATATTGTATGGCAGGATTAATTTACTTCAAAAATATTATTATTCACAGACTTTATGAGGGTAGAAAGGCAGAAAAGTATATTAGATTTGTAAACTCCTACTGCATAAGCTATTCTGGTATAAACAACAATAATGCGCTCAAGAAAAGTTACAGCTTTTGAAAAACACCAGAATGGGATCAAACCTTGTTTAAAATTATACTGACTCCAAAAAGAACCCTTTTGAATATAGAAATATCTAGGAAATCATCATCTTTTTCTAATAGTTGTTTGATAAGAAGTGCCATGAAAGGCATACCATGGCACCAAGCAGAAAGGATTTGGTTGGGTAAATACACCTGGCTAGATCCAGGATGTGTGGTCTGGATGTGGTCTGGATGGATTCCCTTCAAAAACTATATTGACCTTTCAGTGATTCATACTCCCTGCCTAGTACTGGACAGCTAGAAGACAATAAATTACCCCCACATTTTCCATGAGTCATAAAGTCACAATCTTGGATCTTAGATCTGGGTTTATCTCTGATGTATGTTTCCTATTCTATTATAACAAGAGTAAAATTATGAATTCTGAAGGTTGCGATCTTTATAACATGCTTGTAACAAATCATTTGGAACATTTTGATCTTCCTACACAGCCCCTTAGTGTTGTTGTTTTAGTGCAACATTTGAAAAATTCAATGTTATGAGATACGTAAATATTTTTTCAAACTCCTATTTATTCTTTTTGACTTCACCTTAAATACTATGTCATTCTTGAAGCATTCCTTAGCCTCCTAAATTAGGGTTGTGCTCCCTTGCTGTGCAAATCTATACTTTTCTATAATAATCCTCCTCATCACAGTGTACTGTAGATCATCGTTGAATCAGTGCAGGTCCTTCTGGTCTGTCTTGTAGCGCCTGTAATATTCACCACTTTATCTCCAGGCCCTCCCCTAGGGCCTGACACATAGCTGGTGATCGGGTTATTCATGGCACAAACAAGCAAAAGCTGCTTTTGCTTTTAGCCAGTGACCATTCTTAAAAGCTCTTTAATAAATGTTATTTATGCACTATTCGTTCCGGGAAAGGATTTGAGGTGGTCCCGCTCACTCCAGAGCCCTGCATCATTTTCTTTCATCTACCTCCATCATCTTGTCCTCTTTCCTTTCCCCTTTAAGAGCAAAGAGTACACATTAAAAAAAAAAAAAACTTAGCTTCACTTTTACTAGCTATGAGGCCTTGAACCAGTTACTTCATCTTTTCATCCTAAGTCACCAAATGAAATTGGAACAGTGGTACTTATATCACAGAGTTTGGGGGAAGATTAAATGGAATAGTGTATGTAAAAATTTTGCCCAGGATAGATACTCAATAGACGTTACTTCTCATACTCTGCTCACTGAGGGGAAAAAAAAAGGACCTAAAAAAAAAAAAAGAAGAAATCATATCCTAGACTCATCATTATGTAATGATTCACGTTCCAGAAAACTAGATACGGCAGCTAGTAGGGTTTGGGACTTTGGCTGTGTGCTTAAATAAGCTACCAGATACTACCGTTCTGCTTTAAGGGTAGGAAATCTCATGAAAATGAGTCATCTGTCAGCTCACAACCTCACTGGCAAAGAACAACTCCACTTTAGTGTCCAGAGATGCACCAAACACTGGAGTGGGACTATGACACAGTGTGGGGTGCAGGTCTAGCGGAGAACTGCTGGTGTCTGGCTAGGGTATCGAAATCCTTCCACACCTTAATTTTCCATCTGCAGAGCGGGGTTAATGATGGCTCCACTTCATATGGTTCTGACGAGGATGGAGTGAATTACAGATTGTGTGTTTGGCACAATACTCAGCACATAGCAAAGGCTCAGTAAAGACTAGCTTTTAAGAAATAAAATCTATCATAACCATATAGTCTTTGCTTTCTGGTATGGAATTTATTTTTCAAGGTTCTCATGTATTCACTAATGGAAAAGGAAAATCACCTCTCCAGTCAAAGAAGATTAAAACTGGTTTTGGACACCAAGAGAAATCACTGAGCCCAGAGGAGCATGCGATGCTGGGTGCTGGCTGTGAACAGTGGAGATCTGTTTTAGTCACTCTGAATTGGGGAGGTTTTATAAGAATCGATGGTGAGGCGTTATTGCCACTAATGATAAAGTACAATTTTTAATGACAAATAGCTTATTGGTATCCTTGAGAAAAACAAACTTACTCAAATCATTACTATACTATATGTGTATTCCCAAAGACCGTAATTATTTTACCTTTACATGTGGTTGAAAATAGTTAAAGAATATCCTCCCCTGCTTTTCAATAATATTGACTACTGAAGCACGTTGCCCAATCCTATTTTGTTAAGTACTTCTATGCACTATTGAACTACTAATGCTATGTGGGTTGATAAATATTCTAAAATTGACGTTGGCCTCTCTCCTGTCAGGGACCAGAGAATGGAACAGTCTGTCACCCTCCATCAATAGTCCTTAGATGATTTTTTTCTCCCACTTAGTGAGAGAGAGTAGTCTCACGTTAGGAAATTATGTAAGAATAGACGATGGTCTCTCTCAACATTAGAAATGTTATGTTCAGTTTTCTTGACTGGAGTGTAGTTTTCCCTACATGCAAATCTAATTGATGCTAGAGATGCAAGATCGCAAGGTCACCATCCTGTGCCTAAGGGACCGTTAGGAAGAGTATTCCTAGTATGTGCACTCGACGACAGCCTTCTCTCCTTCTCAAAAAAGATTTTGCTTCCCACCAAAACCTACCCATTTAGAATTCTGGGTGCCTGACGAATTAATACAGACTGCATCCCATCTTTGGAGGAACAGAAGCACTGAACATGTAGTGAAATATAGGTTACCTTTGGGCAAAGTGGCCATAGCCATAGGATTCTAATCATAACACCATTATTAAGCTTTTCTCAGAACCCTCTACGGCTTCCCCTTTGAAGACTCTCTGTGCTTTGGGTCTGGACAGATGGGCAGGAGCCGAAAGGGGAGCCTCGCCTTCTATCACATGGGCAGTGCCTGTGGAGTAAGTGCCTGGCACAGAGATGAAAGGTTTTCCTATCTTTGTCTCAGGTAAATGTGATGGATCCTAGACGATCTATACAATATACATTTAAGGTATTAAGAAAAAAGTGATTTTCTGTGGGTTGCCAAGATTTTAAAATCCAAATTTCCACTAAATGTGAATGCAAAGATCCACTTTCCCCCAACAGAATGTGTTACAAATATTTGCCTCAGAGTAAAATAACAAATCATGATATGTGTTTTCAATTAGTTAACTTATTCATAAAGTTCTTTTTATTGTGTCTTTAGCGCCTATTAGCATCACTTTGTCCATTCTCTCTCAGTCTCTGTAAGTTGCCCCAACTCTGGATGGACATCTTTTCCCTAGGAACGTAAATGTTCCTTTTTCTCTAAACATCAATTTTTTTTTCTGGAAAAAAAAAATGACTTCTGAGCACTTACAATGAGCCTGGCCCTAGGATAAAAGCTGGAGATACGATACTGAATAGCATCAAGTTTCAGCTCAGGTATAGCACTCAGGCTTGTAGGGTTGACAAAATGTTGTTCTTGATATAATTTGAATGTTGCCCTTCTCTGCCAGTCACATTCATTCAATTATTCAATAACTCATTGGTTTACATATGCATAAAATTCTCATTTTGCACATATCACATGCTAAGTACTTACATAAAAACCCTGTAAATTTAGGTTTCCACAAATCACAATTTCAATACTACTTAGCCATGCAAAATAAAATATGCCTATGTACTACTTTTTCAAATTTTCACTGAGATAGTAACTAATGTTGAAGAAATTAAATGATGTTTTCAAAGTACATATTTCTGACATTTTGACCTAGAAAAAAGTACTTACAGATTTAGTATTCCCTTCAATAACTTCTTCTTCCTGTGGTTCAAGTTTGAGATCCTTCAGGTGGAGAAAGAAATGGGGAAGGAAGGGACCAGAAATGAGATAAAGGAAACACAATATACTTGAATGTTAAGTCTTTTATGGCTAATGTTGTACCAAAAGAACCTCATTATCTGAAAGGAAATGGAATAATTCTGATTTTAAAAATGAAACCGTTCCAGTAAAGCCTCTTTTACCCATTTATCAATGGTAAAAAGCCATTTCAGATGTGTTTAATTTGTGATTGCTTTAAGTTTATTGATGACAATAAAAGAGAACAAAATGGAGTGGATTCATTAAAATAGGGAAAGGATAGGATAGAAAAAGAAAGATGAGGCTGACTTCTTTTGCTGTTAGTGCTGATTGCCACTTTCCTTGGGAAATCTTGACGGACATTAGTGTAATTGCTATAATACTTTTATACTCTAGTGATAATTTGATATTACTAAAACATGATGATCACTCTAAAAAAAGATGAATTCAAAAGCAAATGAAAACACTATTGACATTTTCTAAAAATCAAGGACTACTAAAAAGACCCTAGAATTTTCTGCAGTCATCAATGGATGATGCTAATATCTCCAGTGAAACCAAGCATGTAATTTCTGAGGACTTCATTCTAAGAATATATATCCTAGCATTTGTGGTAGTGAGTATTATGCACAATAATTCCTTCAAGTACATAAGAAACAAATTGAAAGTTGTAGAAATCCAGGCCGTCTGAAATAACATAAGCTTGTTAAAAACAGAGCTATGTAGCTCTAGCTTTGCTGTTCTCTTGTGGTAAAACCTTATTTATCTTTTCTAGGATTCGCTTTTACTGTTTCCTCTGCCTTGAACTCTCCATTCCTAGGGATTCATCTAGCTGACTCCCTCTCCTCTCTCACACCTCAACTCCAATATCACCTCCGTGGAGTGACCTTCCTGGATCACCCTTTCTAAGTATCCAACCCCTCATCATTACCATACTGCCTTACTTTGTCTTCGCAGTGCTTTTCACTCTCTGAAATTACCTTATTTTATTGATTTGTTTACTGATTTTCCTCGGTCTCTATTGGACCAAGAACCTTACCTGTTTTGATCACAGCTGTACTTTCACTGCCAGAATAATACGTGGCATAAAGCAGATGCTCAATAAACGTTAGTTGAATAAATGAATGGCTGAATGAATGCCCCATTGAAATCATACCTTTTCCGTGAAGGCAAGGTGATGGAATGCATACGGACGTGAGCTGAATCTTAAAGAATACTCTGTAGATAGAAACTCTAACAACAGGGTTCTCCTTGAGAGAGCTTGTTTGGAGGTTCTAGCAGGGGAGCGCAGCTACTCGTATACCCTTGACCGAAGAACGGTCCTCCTCTATCGGGGAGGGTCGTCCTCTTCGACTGAGCGCGCAGCTTCGGGAGGGACGCACATGGAGCGGTGAGGGAGGAAGGGGACACTCGCCTAGCCAGCCAGATCAGCCGAATCAACCCTGGTGATCAATGGGGTGACAGATGTCACAGCCAGATCGCCCTCACATCCAACAGGGTTCTCCTTGACCACTCTTTCCCTAACACCAATTCAGGTACACTTCTCACTTCCACCTTCTTTGATCGAAGATAAGAACAACTTAAAACAAGTGGTATGAATGCAACATCCTTCATTCTACCCCTTCAAATGAGAATGTTCGAAAAAATTTTCTGCAGAGCTCAAGCACGATATAAAATATAATCTCAATATATCCCCATAAATCCTCATAGAGGCTGAAATGGGAAGAAAGAATGCCTGAGGGAACTTGTAGAAATTTCAAGGATGATTTCTCCCTCCAAATGAATGGTACCGGGCCTGGTTTATGGGGCAGGAAGTATTTATCATACTAAGTGCTGAGAAAAGAGAACAGGTGCTCCACTGCAGGAACACTTCCTTCTAATGGGGAGAGCAAACCCGGTGCCAATAACTGCAAGAGACAAGAGAGTCAGCTGTGAAATGACATGCACTTAGCTACTGTTTGGCGATTGGGTAGTTTTTCCTCTAAAAGCCTAATTCACAGAATTAGGTACAGAATAAGTTGTAGAAGGACACGGGACTTGCACTGCCTCTCCATTCATTAAGACAGATCATGCTGAGCCCCACACAGCTGGGACACAATGCCCAAGACCATCACATCATACTTTCAGCAAACCTCTCAGACACTGTCCTCAAAATGAAACCCTTTCATAGGAAGGGAGGGAGAAAAAGTCTAGGAAAGAAAGAGATGTGATAATACTTTGATTTAAAGTTGGAAAAAAAGGCATGACCTAAGTTAAAGCTATTCCTTTAAAAATAGCTATAAAAGTTAAGACACCAAATAAGGACAGGTTGCCAAGAACTTTGAAACTATTTTAAAAGGAGGTATTTATGTTCTTTAAATGAATCTAAAATTATGTAATAATTGACTCTGTATGTTTTAACGAGGTTTGTTTTCCACATAGAGGCCATGCATTTCCACGTCTTCCATGATTGAGAAGCTAATTTTCAGAGCCACCATTTTTCCTATGATTATGTTTAATCTCAGCTCACATATCAATTAATAAAATTAGGAAGGAAGAAAGTTGAATTGCAACAAGCTCTAAGTTTAGGTTATTTGCCCAGTTAATGGTCAGTGTAAATGTACAAATGATGACATGGCAGCAGAGCTACTGGAACTCTCCAAGGTTTCTTCCCCTGGACTTAGTTCCTTGTACAGAATCTCCTCAGAGATCCTCCTCAACTCAGGACATGGAGCTTTCATCTTTGAGGGGATGGCTCATAAGATCTTAAACTGTTGGCCTGACTTCTTGCTTAGTAACATCTAATTGAACATTTCTGCCTATGTCCTACTGGATCTTGGAATTAACATATCTAATCAATCAGTTCACCTCACCTCACCCATTATCTCTCACTAGTCTCTTCCTTTCTACTAATGATACAGTTGTCTAAGGCACTCAGGCTCAAATCCTCAGAGTCCTATTTGAGATTCCCCTGTCCTTTACCCATCACACCCATTCAATGGTCCTGTTAATTTCATTGAAGTCTTTCAAATCTGCCATTTTCTTTTCAGTCATATATTACAGGCCCATCTCTTGCCATACCTGATCCCAGTGGGCTCAGATCTGCAACCTGCTCTTTAATGTCATTGCTTGAGCTGGCTTTGGTGGCTCTGAATTTTCTTGTTTGCATTCATTTTGTATTCTTGCTGTCCAATTTTCTAACTAAAAGATCTTTCTGGTTATGTCACTTACCTGTTGAAAAATAATAAATGCCTCCTGTTGTCTCAAAGACAAGTCCAAATCCCTTACTCTGTTATTTAACACCATCCATAATATGGCCCCTATCCATCCACACAATCTTATTTCTTACCACTTCCCTAAAGGAAAGAATCTAATCAGGCTGGCCTACTTAAGGTTTACTCATGCTATCACCCTTACCCAATGTCCTCTCTAGCTGCTCTCCTTTTACTAAAATTTTACTTCTCCATAGCAAATATTTGTTTGTTCACTGGTTAGTAGACCAGCATTTATTCCAATTTTAATGACAATACATTTACCATTCAGTGAATTCTCTCTTCTCCTTTCAATACAGTGCTCTGGGACCGTTAATCAAGATGTTCTTCCTTCCCTTATGTAAGTAATCAGCCTGGGACCCTAACAAGACCAACCTGATTCTACCCCCTGGAAAGTGGAATCTTGAGCATAATGTCAACAGACTAGGGATGGTTGGAACTCATTTGTTCCAGTAGAGGTAGCCTGAAAGACCACTGAGTATTTCTCACGTAGATCTCTAGAGTTATTTTGTCTCCTGACTTTTCCTGAATCCTAGTTTCTATACCGTCTGTTGATTCTGTGAGCACTCCCATATCCTTCCAGAAAAAATTTTTTTATTACAGAGGTGATTTCTATTGCTTGCCAACAAAATTCTTAATTGTCATCATTTAAAGGCCCAACTCAAGCCCCTCCTGCCACACTAAGTCCTTGCCAAGCACCCTAGCTCTCAGTGATCTCTCTCTCAGGAAGCTCCTGTAGATTGTAATTAGCATCTGTTCTATTCCTTTGGCATGTCTCAGTCAGCAAGAATCGACTGAGCATTAACTATGAAGCTGGTTTTGTGCTACCACATACTTTAAAAAAATCTATTAACTTTGATAATAATGCTTAATTTTACAAGCAGACTGTAGGTTCTTCAAAGTCAGTAACTGTCTCAAACATAAACATTTCTTCCCTAGCGCCTGGCGTGCACAGAAAACACATATTCTTACTGACTGACAAAACGTGCCTCTTCCATCAAAGCTGTTTCAGGGGAACACCACTACAATATTAGGACTGCGTGTACTAATTCAATTAGTCAATAAAATAACTAGAAACATAAAATATAGATCTGAAAAACTCATCACATCCCTACTTGCTTGCTCACTGGGTAGTTCCAATGCCAAAAATCATCAGTTAACATGCTAATTTATGGAAGTTGAGAATGTAACTTCATCTTTTAGTATATCACACAACCTGGATCACTCTGAAACATTCCCAAGACATGGGCCAGGTCATCCCTAAGAGCTGCCATCTGCATCTTTCAAGCACACTGTTACCTACCGCACTGATAACCAAAGAGACTGGCAATGCAGTACATTTATTTAACTTGTAACTCTACATCCTATTTTTAATTTTTTAAAAAATATTTGAGAAAGAGAGAGAGAGAACACAAGCGTGGGTGTAGGGGCAGAGGCAGAGGGAGAAGCAGGCTCCCCCCCGAGCAGGGAGCCCACATGGGGCTCAATCCCAGGACCCTGAGATCATGACCTGAGCCGAAGGTAGACGCTTAACCGACTGAGCCACCCAGGCACTCCTCTACAACTTATTTTATTTTATTTTATTTATTTTTTAAAGACTTTATTTGAGAGACAGAAAGAATGAGAGAGACAGAGAGAGCATGAGAGGGGGGAAGGTCAGAGGGAGAAGCAGACTCCCCGCGGAGCAGGGAGCCCAATGTGGGACTCAATCCTGGGACTCCAGGATCATGACCTGAGCCGAAGGCAGTCGCCCAACGAACTGAGCCATCCAGGCGCCCCTGCAACCTATTTTAAATAGAACTAGGGGTGGAGGTGGGGGGACTAAGACCTAACATGAGCTTCTATATTTGCTTTAACAGAAACGCCCAGATAACTACCAAGCAGCCCTTTGTAGAATCACGGGGCTCCTGGCTGTTATTCTATCTGGATATATTACTGCCATGAGGAAAAACAGCTCAGAATGTACTGAAAAGTGAGACGGAGAAGAAAGAAAAGGAAGCACCTACCTTCTTTTCCAGTCGATCAATTAATTTTTGGAGTCTATTGATCTGGGTCATCCACTGGTTATCTTCTTCTAATAAGCCTTGAGGGGAAAATCATGAGGGCAATGTATTAAACAGAGCAGGAATGCTTTGGCATCTCAGAACTTTCCTTTTACCCTGAAGGAAGCACACAGTGTCACTGGCTAGTCACCTTTTAAAGAAATATATTCACATGAGTGCTTTCTGAGTTATCAGTTTCCATAGATCCGCGCGGCCCAGTGGGTTCATTTTCGCAAGTCTGCGCTTTTTCTGTCGTTGCCCGTACTGGCCTTTGATAGTCAAAGAACAGATCCCGCTGAGCCATTTTCACCACCCCACGAGATGGCTGATTTTTCTTTCGAAAAAAGGAAAGCATCCATCAATAATTTTAAACTTACTTTGGTGACAGTGGCAGGCGCCAGGGAAGTAACAGGCCTGACCACACCAAGGAAGCCAGTGTCTCCTTTCCTAGGGGCTAACCTGAATAAACATGCACACTATGGTCATGGCATAGGGATTATGAGCACAGCATCTGGAACCTGCTGATCTTGCTCAGGTGACTTGATTCCTCTGGCCTCAGCAATATCATCATATCCTCTGGCCACACAGTCATTGTGAGGATTAAATCAGAATATATATGTATACACACACACACACATATGCATGCATACATGTGACAGGTATACATATGTACATCTGTGTGAACATACACACAAACACACATCTACATCTAGCACCCAGTCAACCATTACGTAAGTCCTGTTGCTATTATTGTTGCTGTGATTATTTTTTTAATTCAAAAATTTCTTCAGCATCTTTTATTTTATCATTGCTGTTCCAAGTAAGCTCTGCCCAACATGGGGCTTGAACTCGTGACCTGGAGATTATTCAAAGGTGCAAAGGGAAGAGCTGTGGTCTGAGCCCCTGCACAAACATCCTGGCATCCTTGTGTATCCTTACGGCAGCTTGCTCAAAAGGATTTTCATGGGCATTTGCTGAAACATTATTATTGAATATTTCTCCACGGGAGGATGTCATTGAATTCAAACTGTAAAGCCTTGTTTTAGCTTTGAATGTTAGGAACATAAGACCAAATTATAAAGAGGTCGTGCTTTCCATTGGAATTCACTTTTCTCTCTGCATTCTGGGGTAAAACTCAAGGCCCACCACACAAATTATGATGCAAAACTAAGTAGGAGAACAGTCACACAGAAGTGGCTCTAAAAAGAAATCAGAATAAGGGTGCTTTATAATAGAAAACATTGTAACTATATAAACAAAATTTAGGTTTACTTTTTAATTTACAGATCAGTTAACACACTTCCATTCTGGCTTGTTCCTAAAAGAATTTAAGGTGGCTGTCACATCAAACTTCCTTAGAAGGAAATTTTGGGTTTTGCTCTGTTTTCTAATGGGTTAAAGTGTAAAGAACAATCTGTATATTGACTCAGGAGGCTAGTATTGTTATTTCCTAACAACACATGGTAGACTGTGTAATTGCTCACCATTTTCCCCTTTCTTCCCGGTATAGAAGTCTATGTACACTACAAGTCTTTGCCCCTCCACTTTGCAGTACCTTCTACCACAACGGGTGGAGTACGTGTCCCTCCCCACTGTTACTGGGTTCGGCAGGGGACTCATTTGGCCAATGGAGAGTTAGCAGGTAAGATGCACACAATGGTTTCAAGTGAGCTGTGTGAGCTGGCCTGGCTGGTTGTGCTTCTGACACCCACCAAGAGAAGAAACTGCTTGCTCCAAGCAGTCACTGATCCCAAGAGGCCACACGAGAAGCAGAGCTGAACCCAGTCTGCAAGCTGGGGAGCACACGTGCAGCTGAGATCACCCAAAACACCATCAACCACAGACCCATGAACGAAAATAGACAAATATTTGCAGTGGTAATCACTGAGCTTTTGCAGTTGTTTCACCATAAAAATGGACTAATAAACCATATGCCCTTGGTCAAATTGCTTCACTTCTGGGGAAATAAAGATACTAACATCTATCTTATAAGGTATTAGAATAAAATAAGACAGTGTTCAAGAAAGCACTTTGAAACCTTTCAAGTACAGTCTGTGTAAATATAGACTATAGTTAGTACTTTGATTTTCTGAAATATTAGATATTTAAAGGTTAATCTGTGTTAAAATGATATGTTCAAGTGATATTTATATATATATGCACACACACTCATACAAATATACATATGCATACATATATATACATACCCATGCTTTACAGAAATTACTGTGATATTTTGCAACATGAATTTGTATATTTCAAATGAATTTTAAAGTAATTATTACAAATGACACAATTAAAATAACCTAAAATGTTACTAAGGTTTTAGTCCAATAAATGTTATATTACACTACACACTTCAAAAATGCCAGCTATGACTTTAATCCCATCATGAAAGGAAATAAAGAACCTTTTCCTCAAAGGCTTTTCCTGAAAATCCTTTGCATATGTTTAGGCAGGTTTTTGGGGATCTGGAACAAATTAGGGTACAAACTAAAGTGTGCCTCCTTCCTTGAAACTGATGGGGACTTCTACAGGTCTCCAGTCCCTCGTGTATTAGGTGACCGAGCCACTTTCTTCCCTACCCATCATCCCTCTGTGCACTGCTGGGTGCAGCTGTGGGATTCTGATGGAAACAACAGGGAGGATCATCACCCTGTTCTTAATACCACAGGCTCTCTGCCACTGTGGTTTCAGACAAACTTATCTGGTATAAGAAAAGCATTCCATTACTATTGCTGTTTTACTTGCTTAAAAAGTATGTCAACATGAAAATACAAACTGGGTCAGTCTGGAAGAAGAAAAATGACAAAGCTTCATTACCTGGACCACAGGCACTAAACTGAGGGCTTTTAGGTGAGAAGCTATTGTGTCTCTGGACTCGGCGGCTTGATCGCTTTCCAGGCCACTGAATCAACAGGACTTCTGGCTTGGTCGGCCTTTGCCTTGAACAAGAGAGACAACATTTAACCACAGCGTGTTTCTTGCCTCGAGAAACAGATCTTTAACCATCAATCACAAAGGTTTTCTGGTGTAGTGAAATGAAAAGTGAGGATAATTACTGCTTGCCAACATGCTCTAAAGACCCACATGATCTGGTTTTATAAATGTGAACCTAAAGGAGAAACTGTGAGCTGTCTTTATTCTTTCAGAGTTTGAGTAAAAATTATATCTTAATTTGTGACTTCAGAAAAACATCTTTCCTTTCTTGACCAAACCATCAATGGGAAAAATGTTTTTGTGTGTGCTGATGTATTTAGTTTGAGAATACCTATGGTGTTCAGTCAGTTTTAAATTTTTTAAATCAAGGCTATGTATCCATATAATTTTAAAGTCAAATAATTCTACAAAGCTTATTTTATTTTAATTATAATTTTTTTATTATGTTATGTTAGTTATGTTAGTCACCATACAGTACATCATTAGTTTTTGATGACTAGCTTATTTTAACAAACAGGAGTTCCTACTCCCCCACCTCCATATCATGCCCATTCCCCTTTCACAGAGGGAATGCTTTCAACAAGTGTTAATTTGGGTATTTATCCTCATATCTGTATATAATATGCTTAAATTGCTATCACTTTATTCTTCAGTTTTAAAATGTATCTATTAACTTCCCAATATGAAAAGTTCAGGTCAATGGTATATACAAGGAAATATTACAAGAAACTTACAGGAAAACTGTTTGAAAGAATGGATTCAACTTGGGAAGCAAGCCTTTGGTCTTTCCCTATTCTTCTCTCCTGGTTGGAATACACATGTGATAGCTGGAACTCCAGCAACCATCCTGGACCATGAGGCAAACTTGAGGAGACAGGAGGTCTATGATAAATCTGTAGAGCTGTCATACCTGCTTAGGCTGCCCCCACCAAGCTCTTTCTTGATAATAAGCCCTTATGTGTTTAAGTCACTTTTTTTTTCCTGTTACATGCAGCCAAATCTAATACTAATTCACTCATCCAAAAATCTTCCTTAACTATCAGTAAGGGAAAATTTCTTTAGCCTCTTTCTAATGTTGGTCCCCCCAACCCCCTTTTAAATTGGATTTCATTTTCTCTTTGTTTTGGTGGAAAAGAACCTCCAATTGCTTCATAGGAAAGGGTGCACCTTGAGAGGTAAATTTTTTTTTCAATAAATGAATGAACTTAATTTTTTATTTCTTTTATGCTGGTTCTCTATTTTTTTATTATTATGTTCAATTAGCCAGCATATGGTACATCATTAGTTTTTGAGGTAGTGTTCAAATTTTTGAGATACTGTATATTAAAAAGATACTTTTATTTTATTCTACTTTATTGGTGTTTTTATGGGATAAAGAACTTTATTTTTTTAATTTCCAATATAATTAATGTACAGTGGTATATTATTTTCAGGTATATAATATAGTGATTCAACAATTCTATGCAGTACTCAGTGCTCATCAACAGATAAGCGTACTCTTAATCTCCTTCACCTATTTCACCCATCCTCCCACTCACTTCCCCCCTGGTAACCATCAGTTTTTTTCGCTACACTTAAGAGTCTGTAATTTGGGGGCACCTGGGTGGCTCAGTTGGTAAAGTGGACTGCCTTTGGCTCAGGTCATGATCTCAGGGTCCTGGGATGGAGTCCCACATGGGGCTCCCTGCTGAGCAGGGAGCCTGCTTCTCCCTCTTCTCCCCGCTTGTGTTCTCTCTTGCTATCTCTCTCTCTCTCTAATAAATAAAACCTTAAAAAAACAGTCTGTAATTTGCTTGTTTTTTGTTTTATTTTTTAAATTCTACATGAGTGAAATCATACGGTATTTGTCTTTCTCTTACTGACATTTCACTTAGCATTATACTCTCCGGATCCATCCATGTTGCTGCAAATGGCAAGATTTCTTTATGGCTGAGTAATATTCCACTGTATATATGTATGTGTGTGTATGTGTGTGTACACACACACCACATTTTCTTTATCTGCTCATCTATTGGCTACTCGGGTTTCTTCTATATTTTGGCTATTGTAAATAATGCTGCAATAATCACAGGGGTGCATATATCTTCTCAAATTAGTGTTTTCATATTATTTGGGTTAAATACCCAGGAATGGAATTACTGCATCATACGGTAATTCTATTTTTAATTTTTCGAGGAACCTCCATACTGTTTTCCACAGTGACTGTACCAGTTTGCATTTCCACCAACAGTGCACGAGGGTTCCTTTTTCTCCACATTCTCACCAATGCTTGTTTCTTGTGTTTTTGATTTTAGCCATTATGCAGGAATGAGGTGATAGCTCACTCTAGTTCTGATTTTCATTTCACTGATGGTTAGTGAGTTGACCATCTTTTCATGTGTCTGTTGGCCACCTATATGCCTTCTGTGGAGGAATATTTGCTCTTGTCTTCTGCCCATTTTTAATTGATGAAATAATTGGGTATTCTTTTGGTGTTGAGTTGTATACGTTTTATATATTCTTTATATATTTTGGATATTAACCCTTTATCGAATATATTTCTTGCAAATATCTCCTCCCATTCAGTAGGTTGTCCTTTTGTTTCACTGATTATTCCCTTTGCTGTGCAGAGGATTTTAATCCCACTTGATTGTGATGAATGATTTTTTTAAATATATTTGGGGATTCAGTTTATTAATATTTTGTTGGGGAATTTTGCATCTATGTTCTTCAGAAATACTGGCTTGTAGTTCTCTTTTATTGCACTGTCTTTATCTGGTTTTGGTATCAGGGTAATGCTGGCATCACAGAATGAATTTGGAAGTTTTCCTTTCTCTTCTATTTTTTGGAATAGTTTGAGAAGAATAGGTGTTAATACTTCTTTAAATGTTTGGTAAAATTTACCTGCGAAGCCATCTGGTCTCGGACTTTTGTTTGTGGGGAGTTTTTGATTACTGTTCAATTTCATTGCTGGTAATTGCTCTATCAAATTTTCTATTTCTTTCCAACTCAGTTTTGGGAGGTTATATGTTTCTAGGAATTTATCCATTTCTTCTAGATTGTCCAATTTGTTGCCATATAATTATTCATAATAGGCTCTAATAAACCATTATGTTTCTATGGTGTTGGTTGGTATTTCTCTTTCATTTCTGATTTTGAGTCCTTTATTTATGAGTCTGGCTAAAAGTTAATCATTTTTGTTAATCTTTTCAAAGAACCAGCTCCTGGTTTCATTGATCTTTTTTGTTTGTTTTTGTTTTTAGTTTCTATTTCATTTATTTCTGCTCTAATCTTTATTATTTCCTTCCTTCTACTGGTTTTATTTATTCTTCCTTTTCTAGCTCCTTTAGGTGTAAGGTTAGTTTATCTGAGATTTTTCTGGCTTCTTGAGGTAGACCCAGCGGGGAGTCTTCTCCCTCTGACCCTCCATCCTCTCATGCTTTCTCTCTCACTCTCTTTCAAATAAATAAGATCTTTAAAAAAAAAGTTCTAGGTCTTAAGCCCCACTGACTGTAAAAACTTACAAAATTAAGCCCCTCTGGTTTTCAAATCCAAATGTTATAGAGGTTCATCTTCCCTATGTGGGTCCCTTGTGTCTGGGGTGCCTGGGGTGGGGTCTGCTCTTTTCCCTTCTCCATGCTTGCAGTGTCCCTCCCTCCCCGAGACAGTCTTGTGGGTCTTTTTGGCTCCTGACTGCATCTCCACCCTTCCTACCATTTTCAATGTGGCCTCTTCTCTACATTTAGCTGTGAGAGTCTGTTCTGCCAGTCTTCTGGTCATTTTCTGGGTTATTTACACGGATGTGGGTGTTATTTAGGTATACCAATAGGACAATGGGAGCCTAGGATTCTCCTACTCTGCCATCTTCCCCTGAAGTCAGAGTACAAAGATTAAGGTTGCAAATCATTTTCCCTTCAAATTTTGAAAAAGCTGCTTGATTGCATTTCTAGCTTCCAGTGTCATTATTGAAAAAATCTAGTGTTTTCTTCATCCTTTGTATTTGACCTGGTTTTTCTGTCTGGAAGATTTTAGACATTTCTCTTTGTCTTTGGTATTCTTAAATCTCATAACGGCATGCCTTGGTGTCAGATTTTAGAATTCATTGTAATGGGCTCTCGATCTATCAACCTGGAAACTCATGTCCTTGTTCTGAGAATTATTTCTTAGACAATTTCTCTCCTTTTTTCTCTTTCTGGAATTACTACTTTTCAAATATTGGGCCTTTTGGACTATCCTACAGTTTTATTTATTTTTTCTTTCCTATTTTTCATCTCTTTGTGGAAATGCCATCACACTTTTATCTCCAAATCTTGCTCACAGTTTATTTCTGCAATCATAATTTCCAAGACCTCTCTGTGTGCTTTGAATATTTTTATTTATTTATTTTTCTTAGAGATTTTATTTACTTATTTGACAGAGAGAGAGAGAGACAGCTAGAGAGGGAACACAAGCAGTGGGGGTGGGAGAGGGAGAAGCAGGCTCCCGGCTGAGCAGGGAACCCGATGCAGAGCTCGATCCCAGGACCCTGGGATCATGAGCCGAGCTGAAGGCAGATGCTTAATGACTGAGCCACCCAGGCACCCCATGAATATTATTTTTTAAAATAGCATCCTGTCCTTAATTCATAAATGCAATATTTTCTCTGCTTTCTGAGGGTATTGATTTCTTTTGTTTTCTTTTTTTTTTTAGAAGTCTTCTTCTGCTCTCTGGATTATATCTGTTTCTTCTAAGTTTCTTTTCTTGTGTTTGATTTGTTCTCTTGGTTGTCCCTGCCTATTTCAGAGGAAGGAAACATGGATGATTGGAGTGTGTGTGTATGTTGGGCGGTGGGGGGAAGGTGAGGACTGCCAACTTGCAGCCCCCACCATAGGGTGGCCTGGCTAGGCCTATTCATTAAGAGACACCATTTCTTGGTACTTTTAAGTCTTTCTCTTGGACTGATGAGATCCCACAGAAAATTGAGAGAAGCATCTCCCAACCAGAGTGTATAAGCCCAGCTGTTAGTGCTTTGGGAGTACAGTATGCT